AAAAAAAAAAAAAAAGGAAAAGACACAACGATCTAACTTATCATGTGTGAGCCTTATTGTGATTCTCATTTAAACAAACCAAAAACACAAAAAGACATTTTTGAGACAATCATAAAAATTTAAATATAGTCTGGGTAATAGATGATTCTGAAGAATTATTGTTGGGTATGATACTGGTATTGTGTCTGGTATGTAAGAAAATGCCTATAATTTTTAGATGTGCATCCTAAAACATTTAGGGATTAAGTGGTATATTATCTAGTATTTTCTTTAAAATATTTTAGCAAAAAGACTAGATTATGTAAGTATGGCAATTACTGATAATTCTAGAGACTTGATGATGACTTTGTGAAAGAGTTCCTTATATGTTTGTATATGTTTGATAGAATGTTTCATTTAAATACAAAAGATGGGTGGCACCCATGGCTCAGCAGGTAGAGTGCCATCCACATACACCGAGGCTGACAGGTTTGAATCCGGCAGGGCCTAGTAAAAGAACAATGACAACTACAACAAAAAAATAGCCGGACATTGTGGTAGGCACCTGCAATCCCAGCTACTTGGGAGGCTGAGGCAAGAGAATCACTTAAGCCCAAGAGTTGGAGGTTGATGTGAGCTGTGATGCTATGGCACTCTATCCAGGGTGACATAGTGAGACTCTATCTCAAAACAAACAAATAAAAACAGCAACAACAAAGGATGTTCTTCAGAGAGAAGGAATTTTTTTCAGAAAAAATTTTTCTGAGGGTACCTTTGTACCCTCATATTGTTTTTGTTTCTAAGGTAAATTTCAAGTTGTAGTTGAGCCTTCCCCCCGGGGGCATGCTGAACACCCTCACTTCCTGCATATTAGGTGAGATCCCACCAGTCACCTCCCTCCTCCCCTTTCTCTCTTCCTCCTCTCCCCTCCACTTCACTAGGCTATACTTGTGTTTTTCTTTAGTGTGAGCATGTAGTTGTTTATACATATTATATAGTTAAACAGTCATCCCATATTAGTATTAAGTACATCGGATATTTGTTTTTCCATTCTTGTGATACTTTACTAAGAAGAATGTGTTTCAACTCCATCCAGGTAAAGACAAAAGATGCAAAGTCTCCATCTTTACTTATGGCTGAATAGTACTCCAGGGTATACATATAGCACAGTTAATCCATTCATGGGTTCATGGGCACTTGAGTAGTTTCCATGTCTTGACAATTGTGAATTGAGCTGCAATAAACATTCTAATGCAAATTTCCTTGTGGTAAAATGATTCTTCTTCTCCTTCTTCTTCTTCTTCTTCTTCTTCTATTTTTTTTGGAGGCAAAGTCTCACTATGTTTCCCTTGCCTCCTGAGTAATAGGCCCTCCAGGTGCCCACAGCACCTTGCTATTTTTTAGAAATGGGGTCTCATTCTTGCTCAGAGCTGGTCTCAGACTCCTGAGCTCAAGTAATCCACCCACCCCGGCCTCCCAGAGTGCTGGATTATAGGCATGAGCCACCGCACCCGGCCATTTTTATTCTTCTGGGTAGACACCTAGTAATGGGACTGCAGGATCAAATGGAAGGTCAACTTTTAGTTGTTTGAGAATTCTCCATACTTCTTTCCATAGAGGTTGTATTAGTTTGCAATCTCACCAGCAATGCAAAAGTCTTCCTTCCAGAGAGAAGGAATTTAACCCAGAAGGAAAAAGGAATAGGCAAGAAGCAATGATTATTGTTCATGGAGGAATTGTATCAGATTGTGAGGCCCCTCTGTCCACACCTGAGTGAACACAGTGAACAGCTGTTCTCATATAGATCCCCAGCGTAATGAACTGCAAGGGGGCCAGGCACTTGGAATCAATTTGATGTGAAGAAACAAGACCCCGTAGCACGGTAGTCACGGCACCAGCCACGTACACCAAAGTTGGTAGGTTCAAACCCAGCCCGAGCCAGCTAAACAACGACAACTGCAACAAAAAATAGCTGGGGGCTCGGCGCCTGTGGCTCAAGCGGCTAAGGCGCCAGCCACATACACCTAAGGTGGCGGGTT